TTTACTGAGAAAAATGGTGATGTGTCCAATACTTCACACACACACTGTGCATATATATATATATAATATCTCTCCTGACAATGGACATATGATATGACTTTACAATCCGCCACCTTCCTTGCACTATTTTATTTAAAAACTTGGTAAAAGATGCACAGATGTTTGGAATAGATATCTGTGCCCAACAGTTTCTTCTTTAAGGTGTTTGCTATGTCTTTTTGTCTGGTAACACACACATGWAGGCTCCAGAGCAGTCAACAGCCAAACTCCTGTTTCTATAGTGGTGCTCACACTGATGATCACACTGAATTAATCAAATACATTAATCACATTGTTTGAAATGACTTTAATAGAAGTCTTCTAGTCTGCAAAAAGCCACTTAACATTGTCTGATTGGATGCCAGTTTCAGCTGCTCCATTAATATAAACATATGTATTCTTGTTTGTATTTTCTAGAAGTCTCAGTCATTTACAGATGCTATCCAGTCCAGCCTGCTCCTGGATGGAGAGTCCGTGTACAGCTTGGTGGTTAACCCTTTTCTCCTCCTGCTGGCCAGGGTAATCCTCACCAAGTGCTCTGCCAAGATGGACAGCCTCCAGGTAAGACTGCTTTTCTTCCTGACGAAGCATAATGGAAAAGAAAATGTTATTATGGATGTAAATTTTTTAGGTAAGTTGTCTGCAAACAGACTTTCTGTACTTCAACTATTTTGTTTTCATTCAGTTCAKATCATTTTATTTAAATAGTGACAGTTCACAACAAAAGTCCCCTGATGGCACTGAACAAAAACATTTACATACATTATAAAAAAACAATTAATAAAAGTTATCTAAGGAAGCCAGCAGATTTCTATGACTCTTCACTTTGTCGCAGTCTCCCATCCTGAGCAGCATGTTGGTGACAGTAGAAAAAAACAACTCCCTTTAAACAGGAATAAAACTCCAGCAGATCTGTGATCAGGCTAGGCAGCCACCTGCCTCCACTGACTGGTGTTAGAGATAAGGTAAGAGGACAAGAAAGAGATACAGACTATCTCAGAATAACTGGTAGCTAAGGTTGTAACCGATTTGAAAACATCTGAACCATTTGTACCATAGACATGACCTTTTTTTGACCGTTAAAGATTTCTCTATTTTTATGGGAACAAATAAATTCAACCTGAATGTGTTAGCTTTTACTTTTTGTCAGCTGCCACAAAAGACATGGAGAAGATGAATATACAATTTAAAGCACCCCACATCAATGCAAAGCCAAAATGTCTGGTTCAGATAAAACACAGGGGACGTCTGTGTTTGTTTTAAATCAACTAAGGAAAAGTTTACCACTGATCCACGGTGGAGACTGAGCCTTAGTTATTCATAAAACCAAAAGGATTAAAATTTTCTCGCTTCAAAGCTCCTTGAGTCTAATAAACATCATTAAATACAGAAATGTTTAAAAAGCATCGGCCGAAGAGCCAGTTGTGAGCATTGTTGGTTTTATGAATAGTAGGGAAAGTAGCTATGATGCCTTAGAAGCATGTGGGGAAAGCTTTATTGAACCATGTCCCCCAGATACCTTCTTTCTGTAATGTGGAATTTATGACAAAAATTTGTTAGCTTCAAATATTTTGGTCCATCAAAGCCTAAAAATTTTAGCCTAATATGCAATATCTTAAATAATTAAGAGAAATGATGTTCAGTGTAATTAACATATTGCCTACCACTACTTGAAAGTGAAACTACTCATAGAAAATAAAATTTTATTAATAACTTGACCTATTTTACAGATGTTTTAGAAATTTCCAGTATCTGGCTGTGATGCCAGTGTTGTGTCCAAAATCTAAATTTACACCACCTGCAGTGAGACTAACTGGGTTTTTATGGAAAGTGCATTAGYAGATGTGGGAATGTTGGACACAGCCCAAAAGTTTCACAAAGTCTGTTTGTCCTTCAAAGTAAAGCAGATTAAAATTATTGAGCAGTTAATGAAGATTTTAAGAGCTTTGATGTTTGACAGCTGCCTCCTGAATTCATCCACTTTCTGATGGTTTTAAGAACTAACAGTGACTGGCTTTCTTCCAGAGACAGGTACTTAACAGGAGACACAACATCTCGGTGAACTTTCGACCTAACAACACCCTCTGACAAAAACTGATTCGTGCCCAAACAGAAGTGGCATTTTGTATGCAGTTCAGTGCAGCAAGGTGTATTCTGACCTTTAATATWGGAGAAATGAAACAACTACACAAAGGCACGACTCAGGAGAGACTTAGGAGTTCACTTACATCTTGAAGAGGACCCTTTTCGAGGACAGTGGTACTTACAACAGAGAGGATTTATGGTTTATAACCGAGGTGAAAGAATTTAACGTTAAATGAGAAAGACTAACTTTAAGGAAAATGTACATAGTACAACAGAACTCTTATGTGATCTGTAAGATCTCAAAAATGCATTGTGGAGGACTCTCAGCTATTGTTGCACCAAACTYGAGCTCAGTACCTGTAAAACTTAATGTTATGCATATAAATAACTACTGTTCCCTGAAGGAAAGGAACAAGGTACAACACATCATGTATGGGAAACCACGCCCCTGCGTGTCCTGGCTGAAGCCACCTCTWATCACGCCTTTAGGCAGGTGACGTGATGACGACAGATGTCAGGCTCCACCTACACATATATATACTGTCGCCATTACAGTCACTCCTTAGTTTGGTAACTGCTCTTCACCGAGCCCAGCTGTGCAGCGGGGCCACCATGTGTTGTACCTCATTCCTTTCCTTCAGGGAACAGTAGTTATATGCATAACATTACGTTCCCTTTCAGTCAATACACTCGGTACAACACATCATGTATGGGACATATATAAAWGCCCCGCGGAGCAGCACCAAMCTTGGGTCATAATAACATGCTAGTGCAGCACTTCAGATCCAGCAGAGAGCACAGAGTGAGCCACCGAAGGAGCTGTCACATCTAAGCGATAAAATTGAACAAACGTGTGCGGTGAAGACCAGCTGGCCGCAGCACAGATGTCACTCACAGGTACCCCTTTAAATAGGGCCCAGGATGCTGCTACACCCCTGGTGGAGTGAGCTCTCACACCAGATGGGACTGGGAGACCCCTGCTGCTGTAAGCTAAMGAGATGGCCTCCACAATCCAGTGGGAGAGTCTCTGTCTGGACAGAGCTCTGCCCCTGAGTGGGTTAGCAACACACACAAACAGCTGCTCACATGACCTCACCTCCTGTGTGCGGTCAATGTAAAYACGCAGTGCACGTAGAGGACACAAAGAATGTAACCTCCTCTGTTCCTCAGATGCAAAAGGGGGAGGATAAAAAYTAGAAAGCTCAATAGACATGGAGCTGTARTTAGAAGGTATCAYYTTARGGAGATAYGCTGAGTTTGGATGCAGAACCACCTTGGAGCCATCAGGTGAAAACTGAATACAGGAGGGATTYACAGACAGAGCATGGAGATCCCCGACCCGTTTAACAGTTGTTAGTGCCAGAAGCAACACAACTATGAAAGGAACTTCAAATCCACAGACTCCAGGGGCTCAAAAGGGGGTCACAGACAGCCTCGAGCATCACAGTAAGATCCCAGGTAGGGATACTGGGTTTAATAACAGGCCGCAGCCTACGGACCCCTTCAGAAAACGCACTGCTAGAGGATGAGCACCTGGCGTAACTCCATCAAAACCCACATGGCAAGCAGAGATAGCTGCCAAGTAGACTTAAATTGTGGAAAAAGCCAGACCTTTATCCAGCAGCTCCTGAAGGAATGTTAAAACATCCACCATAGAGCACTGAAACGGGACAGTGGGCCTAATCTCACACCACTGCTCGAAAGCGTCACTTGTAGGTATATAAACCTCTAGTGGAGGGTGCTCTCGCGTTCTGGATAGTTGCCACTGCTGCTGGGGGAAGGCCCCTGGCTAGAAAGCAGGACCTTTCAGCAGGTAGGCATGCAGCCTCCGCAACTCTGGGTGTGGGTGAAATATCTCCCCCCCTGCCTGAGAGAGGAGATCTTGGCGAAGAGGAAGCTGCCAGGGCTGAGCAGCCAGCAGGCTGATTATCTCGGCGTACCAAGACTTTGCTGGCCAATGGGGTGCCACCAGAATGAGAGACAGACCCTGTCTGCGCACCCTCTCTGGTACAGGCAGTATCATCTCCTCTGGGGGAAATGCATACAGCAGTACATTGGGCCACGGGTGGGCTACAGCGTCCACCCCCAGTGGGGCGTTCTGATCCAATATGGAAAAGAACAGAGGGCAGTGGGTGTTGGCCCCTGTGACAAAGAGATCCACTGCTGCCCTGCCAAACATGGTCCAAATCTGGTCCACCACTGAGGGGTGCAGCCTCCACTCCCTCACCATAGGTCCGCCCCTGGAGAGTAGATCTGGGCCCAGGTTCAGTCTCCCAGGAGCGTGAGTGGCCCTGATAGACAGGACATGCACGCTGCACCACTGCAAGAGAGTGTGAGACAGTTCCAACAGGGTAAGAGACCGCGTTCCCCCCTGTCTGTTTATATATGACACTTCAGTCGTGTTGTCTGTTCTGATCAGAACATGTTGGTTCTGCAGAACTGGACAAAATTGTTTCAGTGCTAACAGAACTGCTAACAATTCCAGGCAGTTTATGTGTAGTCTGGACTGCTTCAGAGTCCAAACCCCACTCACTGCCGCACCATCGCACAGAGCCCCCCACCCCACCAGGGAGGCATCTTTGGATACCACTTTGCGAAAAGACACTCTCCCTATCTGTGAGCCTCGGCATAGCAGGCCAGGTTCCCTCCAAGGACTGAGAGCCTTCATGCATGAGGCAGTTATCATTAGCTTTCTGTGGCGGTGACGTAATGCACACAGTCGGTGAGAGCGGGACCAACGCTGAAACTGGCACATTTTTAGCAGCCTGAGTGGTACTACTGCGATCATAGAAGCCATCATGCCCAACGGCTGCAGAATGTTCTGAAAACGCAGTTCGCGTCCCAGTTGAAACTGAGCGAGGCAGCAGTGAAACGCAGCTACTCTGTTCTCTGAGAGATGCGCTCTGCCCGACAGGGAGCATATTTCTAACCAAGGAAAGAAAACTGCTGACTCGG